TGGATTAAAGCTATATGTATTTTACCTGTGTTAATTTTAGCCATCAGAGCGTTGGTAGCTGTCTCGCTCCGATGGAGGTTTATTTGGATATCCTCAATCATTGTCATCCATTAAACTGTCAGCGAGTTTGTGATTACCTCCTCGCTCTTTGGATTTGACTCCTCCGGGTAGCCTGAAGTGGCTATTAATGCAGTGGGTACTGTTGATGGCACTGCGGTGTCCTTATCAGGCATAGGAATAGCAGTATTTTTAATCGACACATTCCCAATTCTGGAAAGCACAGCTGTTCTGTCTTCTGGCGGGTGAGTGATTTGCTCCTCGCTTTTAGGATTTGACTCCTCAACATTTCCAGTACTTGCTAATGATCTTTGGGTACTGTCTTAGGTGTTTTAGTGTCCTTATCGGGGCCAGCCCTTTCAATCGGCGCCTTCCCAATTTTGGAAGGGCAGCTGCACCTTCTTTTGGCGAGTAAGTAGTAGCTTCCTCGCTTTTATGATTTGACTCCTTAACGGTGTCAGTAGTTGCTACTGATGCTGTGGTCTTAGGTATTTTAGTGTCCTTTTCGAGTCTTGTTGTAACAGCCCTTCCAATCGGCACCTTCCCAATTTTGAATATGACAGTTTTAGAGGCGAAGTAAGCCCTACCTTTATTCTTGGCAAGACTAGCCATAGATTTCTGGTCGATACCTATTACAAATAAAGTTCCCTCAGGTTCTTCTTTCCTGTAAAAGACATTCCATTTTCCTCGGCCATCTCAGCATTTTGACCACCAAAAATTTCCAGTATACGTTCATTAGCCAGTTTACTGCTCCATCCCTTTATGTAGACAGTGGACTTTAAGAGCGCCGGAAGCTTGCTCTTCTTTGCCAGTCCTAGCTTAGCGCCGTCCCAGGGAGAAAGGATACTTTCCACCAAGTTCTTTAGGGTGCTAACACATTGGTGAGATGCCAACCTCATCAACATCACGCACATGCTGAACTCGCAGCTCACGCTCTTCTATTGGAATTTTGCCTGTCGGATTACCGGCATCGTAAACCGCATAGCCGAGATCGTCCCAGTGTCTTCTTCTGGCAATTTTGGCGTAAGATGGCGGCTCTTTTCCTTTTCCACTGTCTAGCCTCTCTTTCCTCGCTTTTCGGGGCTTCTTTTGAGATACCCGTACCTTCGAGTTTGATTTCGCCGACGTGATCGTTTTCGGAATATCAATCTTGGCGTTGTCACCCTTACTCGCAGGATTCTGACTTGAGGTTCCTCTGTGTGAAGTATGGCTTGGCTTCGACTGTGTATTAGAAGACGGGGAGCTCTTTTTCTTCTTAGGTTTATTCTAAGTCGTCAACTCTTCGGGAGACCCGATCCTCTTTGCCTCAGATCTTATGAGAGAGTCCGATTTTTCGTTTGGAGTGTCGTTGGATTGACTAACTATGATTTCCTGAAGCATCTTTTTGAACAATGCTTCGCATAAGTAAGAGTCATACCCTAAGAGCTGGTCCAATTAAAAAAAATTATGGAGTCGTATACAAAATTTTGTTTTGTCATTGAAATTGTCTCTCTCTTTCAAATTTGCATATGGTTTATTTGCAACAATATGATAAAACCAGAAAAACCTTAAAATGGGACCTTTTTATCCTTCGATCCAGCTCACCAAATATTGACATCAGGTCAAAACTTTTGAGAATTGAAATCTTAGAATGAACATCAGCAACTTCAATTTTGAGGCCACCCTTTCAACTAAGTATCTAGGATCTCATATTCCTATAATCAAAACATAACATAAATTTAAAGTGAATTTCCAAATACTGCCCTATATCTGCACATATGTAGTTCTTTACAAATCGATACTTTGTTTTTCCTCTTAGACCAGTACTCAGCGGATTACCACTGCTTATGCAGTAAATTGTGTTGAAAGTAGGAGAATAACTTGTGGAAGGGAAGATGGAGGGAGCTGTGTTTGTGGAAAGTTGATTGAAATATTTTCACATCGAAAGTGGTACGGAATACTTCTGCAGTAAGTTTGTTCTCTAGAGGGCTTGGCGTTTAATTGAATGAATAAGAACGACAGATACTGCTGTCATCGACAAAAGAGTAGATATAGTTGCAAGAGTTGGACATAAAAGTTCATTTATGAAAATAAGAAATATAGAATGAGGAAGAACGAAGCCTTGCGGTACCTCTGAAATAATCATTAACTCGTTTGATGAGATACCAACAATAAGAACTCATATATGTATGTATTGCGATCTCTGAGAAAGCTCGAAATAAATCTAGAGAAATTATTACCGACGCTAAATGCAAATAAATTTGATTTATAATGGGAGTTAATGATCAGATTGCATGATTGACAAGTCCCGGACTACATATATTCCCGGTGTATATATGTATATTTATTAGTATATATATCTACTGCACAGTTACCCATAATACGTGTGGAGGTATAATCATTCATATTGCAGAAGGTGGGCTATTCTATTTGTTCCAGATACATATCGCTTTCTGAACTTCAAGGTATTGGTCTCTACTGCCAATATCAGGGGAAAAATTTTCTACTGTACGGTGTTATGCGATCTTTTCGGAGAATGTTGTATTAATTACAAAAATTCGTACCTTTGTTGGAAAAATTTAAACTTTTAATCGCAAATATTGGTTCTGGTGCATTTCTGATTTTCATCTTTCTACGTCTCTCGGCTTCAATTTGTATGATATCTATTTTCCTTTTAAGAATCTTGGAATTTTCTTAAATATTCAAAGCTTGTAATTAAAAACAACTTATTAGAAATAAAAACAATGTTTGTTTAAGATTTGTTTTCATTAATTTTGTTAACTTTATTATTTTCACTTTTTATATTTCTCTCATTTTTATTTCGTTAGAAAGTGTGTCTTTCACTATTTTGAGCTTCAAATTAATAGATTTTTTCATTTACGAGTATAAAATGATTATAGTATTATTGATCGTTCATTTCTTGTATATGCAAGTTGATTAAATATTATAAAACAAATAAATGATTTTGTGTATTGTATATTAATAATAAATTTATGTATAGATGCAGTTGTTGTTAAATGTATACTACTGTATATTTTCATTTATTTTTTTTTTTTTTTAGTTGCTAACAAGAAGTTTAGAACTTCGCTAATAAGAAAGAATTTAATAATAATAATAATTTTTAATGCATATAATAATCATATTCTTATAAGCTAATCTTATAAAAGCTAAATTATTTTGAAAATTAAGAAAGATAAATTGTTTTTAATATATATAGTAATTGCCAAGTTAAAGTACTAATCTATTAATCTATTTTTTAGACGAAAATAAAATTTATATTTTATTTTAGAAATTTGTGTATTTTTTTCTTTAATATTTGTTTTTATAAAATTTTTATAAATTTTTAATTAATTGATTAGTACAGGAACTCTGCAAAAACGTTTGTTGTTTGTTTGTGTATATTTTGTATGATATATATTTTTTTGTATAATTTTTGTGAAACTCATTTGAGTAGTACATATTAGTTTAAATGTTTACTAAACTTGAATTTAAATATTGTTTACTAAATTTATTTTAAAAAATTTTTTTTGTGTATAAAACGAAAATATGTTTGGTTTGAATAGAAACCTTTTGGTTCAGTTTTTATTACATTTAAAATGCAATGTTAGGTAAGTCAAACTTTTTCTTATCAACACGAAACTATCTATCTATAAGATTGAGAAATAAAAACGAAAACATTTGTTTTAGAAAAATTTTACATAAATTTAAAAACAAATTCTCTTTTTATAGAAAAATTTTCATAACTTTTCTTTTCATACAAAAACTATGATAAATTTTATCTAAATTTTAAAAAATAAGCGTTCCTTATTTTATTGAAAATCTTGGATAAATTTTCTTTTTTAAGAATTTTCAATAAATTTTTTCTTTTTTTTAGAAAATTTTCCATAAATTTCTTTCATACAAAAACTTTCTCTAGAAATTTTCAAAAAATGTTCGCCTTTTAGAGAAAATCTTCGACAAATTTTCTTCTTTAAGAATTTTCAATAAATTTTCTCTTTTGTATAAATTTCATCTTTTTAAAGAAAATTTTCAATAAATTTTCTTTTAATTTTGGCTAAATTTTCTCTTTTTAAAGAAATTAATTAAAAAAAAAAATAATTTTTATAGAAAATTTTAAAAGATTTAATGCATTTTATATTTAAAGAAATTTTTATTGAAAATTTTGGATAAATTTCCATTTTTAAATAAATGTTCTTTTTATAGAATATTTTTAAAAATGTTTCTCTTTTTAAGAAAATTTCCTTTTTATATATAAAGAAAATTTTCAATAAATTTTCTCTTTTTATGGAAAATTTTCTTATGTTAAAGAAAATGTTCTCTTTAAAGACAATTTCCGATTATTCTTTTATAGTAAATTTTCAATTATTTTTCTCTTTTAAAAGAAAATTTTCGATAAATGTTCAATTTAAAGAAAATTCATTAAATGTACTTTTTATAGAAAATTTGTAATAAATTTACTCTTTTTGAAGAAATTTTTAAAGAAATTAAAAAAAAAATTTGCTATTTTAAATGAATACATTTTACCTTTTTATTATAAATGTTCTTTTTTATAGAAAACCATAAATTTTCTGTTTTTAAAGAAAATTTTCCATGATTTTTATCTTTTGAAAGAAAATTTTCGATAAATTTTATAAATTTTCTATTTTTAAAGAATATTTTCATAATTTTTCTCTTTTTAAAGAAAAATTTCAATAAACAGTCCATTTTTAAACAAATTTATTTTCAATAAATGTTTGTTTTATAGAAAATGTTCTTTAATTATTTATAAAAAATTTCTACTTTTAAAGAAAATTTTCTAAAAATTCATAATTTTATATAAAACTTCTAATAAATTTTCAACTTTCTTTTCGGCTTTTTCCAATCAACATTGCATTTTAAACTTGTATATAGAATGTGTTTGTTTGTGTATAGATTTTGTTGGGTTTTTAAGAAATAATTTCAAAATAAAATGGCAGTTTTAAAGATTGTTTGTTTCTTTCTGGTTCTGTATTCTAAAGACAACTTAAATGTATTTATATAAGTAAATAAAATTGCTTAAAATAGTATTTTATAAAACAACCTTAAGAATTGTGCAAACTAAAGTAAAGCGATGAAGCGATGAACTTGTAAAATTTTATATTTAACTTGTAAAAACCATTAAAAAGCCAAAGTAGTTCCAATATTTTTTCTGTTTCTGTAAAATTCGTCTCCAAATAACTAAAAATATCTAAAATTTTCCCATCGATATTAAGATATCTAATTAAAACACACAATTTTTTACAAAAGATTGTTCATCCCACCTCTTTACTTTATTTGCAAATGGTATAACATAATTGTTCTTGTTTTTTGTTGTACATAAAATCCAAACAACAACTGAAAAAATAAAATATATAAAACAGGCAAAAAAATAAAAGCAACAAAAAAGTACGTGTAAAGTTAATAACAATAAATAAGAAGCAATATTATATATTCTCATGTATTTGAGTAGGTTGTATTTAGATTTTAGATTGATTTATTTACTTAAGAAGAAGAAAGTTTATTGATAAACTCCTCGAAGCACTTGCACTATGTGGCAGTCAAAGCATTCCATTCAAAGCGAGGATTTTTAGAATGTGTAACGGGTAAACATTCCGGTTCAACTAGTTTCCATTGGCCATCAATTTCCTCAACATTGGCTAAACTACAATATGGTATTTTGTGTATAACATGACGCAATTCATTGGTGTTGCGGGGAGCCTCACCAATCAGTTGGCGGGTGCAGGTGTCAAGGGTAGTGGCATGGGCTACAATTAAGATATTGCCACCTATTTTGTGAAAAAGAATAATATTATTAATTAGTTGTTAATTTTATGTAAAAACCAAAAGAACTTACTTGTTGATTCAATAATTTTCTTCAAAACTTCATAGTTACGTGTATAAAAATCTTCTGTTGTCTCTTTATACCCTCATTTAGTTTATTAACAGTTACAAACGGTTGATATTCATTATCTATTATATAATTAGCTTCTCTTAATTCCTCTTTGTTAAGCCAATCGGGTACACCTTCAGGATACCAAGCCATCCACTCAAATAGACCAGGTTCTAATTTTATTCTATGTTTTCCGGTTAGTTTGAGACCTTGGAAAAAAGTTTTATAATTATATATTTTTGAAGGTTTTTACTTTGTATAGTTTATACCTTCTAAAGCACTGGTACAAGTTTGAATACAACGATATGCCGGTGAGCAATAAACATTATCAATTTGTACGCGAGCATCATATAATGCCTCACCTATTAAACTGGCTTGATGCAAACCAATATTAGTTAGGGGCGAATCATTTTGCCAACCATCGGGACAATTATTTCTGTAAGAGAATAATTTAAAAAAAAATGGAAATATAAATTATTTCTTTTATAAATTATGTAATTTTATCAGAAGTCCTGATTAAGAAATTCTCTAATATTTTCAATGAATTTTTGAAAAATTCTCTATAAATCCGCATCAGAAAAATATCTCTAAGAAAATTTACAAAATATTCTCTCTTTTAGAGAATTTTCGAAATATTCTCTCTTTTAGAGAATTTTCGAAATATTCTCTCCTAAGAGAATTTTCTTTTTGAAAAATAATCTTTAAGTAAAAAATTTCGTAAAATATCATTTTGAACTATATCGAATTATTATTTCTTAAATTTCATTCTTAATTTTCGAAAATTTCTGTTTAAAGAGAAATTTTGAAAATTTTTGTTTTTTGAGAAATTTCGAAGAACTCTCCCTTTTTAAGATTTTTTGTTTTAATTTTCTCTTTTTTACAAAATTATTATAAATCTTCTCTTTTTAGAAAATTCTCGAAAAATTCTCTCTGTTTCGAAAAATGATCTCTTATAAAGAATTTTGAATTATTATATTATTTAAAAATATTTAAAAAAAATTCTCTCCCTTTTAAAGAATTTCCATAAAAATTTTACCTTCTCAGAGATATTTCTAAAAATTATGTCAAAGTATTCTCTCTTAAAGACAATTTTCAAAAAACTCTATCTTTTAAAGAATTTTTGAAAAATTCTACCTTTTTAGAGAATTATCTAAAAGTCGGAAAATTATCTTTTCAAACATTTATTTTTTGCAGAATTTCGAAAAATTCTCTTTTGAGAATTTCTAAAACTTCTCTATTTTTAGAGAATTTTTGGAAAATTTTTTCTTTTTCAGAAGATGTCTAAAATTTAATTTATTTTGTTTGAGAATTTTCGAAAAATTCTCTTTTTTTTTTGAAAAATTTTCTACAATTCTTCTTTTGTTTTCAGAGATATGTCGTTATATATAATTTTCTCACCTTTTTGGCAGTGTTTTCGGCATATTCAAATCTTTACGCATATAATTATTGAACTCATCAAAACAATATGGTATCCAAGCGCCAAAGTAAAATCGACCCTTTCGCCATGACGCATAATATAAACACGACGATTTTTCGATGATATTGATAAAGAATTTTCGGCCGAATGTTGACTCAATGTATCATCGGCCTTGGGAGGAGCCACCGGTATAGGCTCCACTTTAATGTCACTAGCATTGGGAGTAGACATGCTATTCGGTGTAATTTCAATAAGAGGTGTAGATTGTTGTTGATTGGGATTGTTGTGATTATTCAGGGAATGTAAATCCAAACAGGGTTTTAAGGTTTTGCGTAAATATTTCTCAACACTCTGTTCTGAATCCTCATTAAAAGAGGAACCCTCAATTAGATCTGTGGAATGTAAACCAACTAATGAAAATGAAATTAAACAATTTAGTTTTTATCCTATAGCGTATTAGAACTAAACTCACTGTGTGGCAAATCGCGATGATGACGTGATGTTTGTTCTTCTGTTTCTGTTGAAATGCTACGACCATCGACCATATCACACTCTTCGGCTGAAGTTAATGAAGGTGTTATTGATTTTGACAATTGCACAACACGATGTAAAGTCCAAGCATCCGATTCAGCCGTACGTTCGGTATAATTAACAGGCAAGTGACCATGGGCACCGGTTAACCAAGATATACCCTCAGCCCAGCCGTCTGATGAATTATCAACAGCGTCACTATTCAAATAAATATAATCTCCAATACGTAGTTCCAACTCATCAATTTCGTGAGGACTGTGAGGATAAACAACTTTATGTACCTATTTATGCCACATGAATACAGACGCAACACGCAAAGAGAAAGAGAAAAACGAAAAACAAATTAACAAATACACACTTACAGCTAAATTGCATAGATACTTGTACAAAAACAATTGAAACTCAAACAAAAAAAAAAGGAAAAATGAAAACTTTACTGGGTTAAGGTTAAATTTGCAAAATGTTATTGTTTGAAAACAATAACAACTTTCCAAAAGAAAAGGTAAAATGGATTTGTTATATGTTTGTATATTATATAGAAAATATATAAATATGTACTTGTTTTGTAGCTAATCTGGGATCACGCGAATATAAACGTAGCTCCCAATTGGAGGCACATGACGCATCTAGTGATTCCACTAAAGTTTTTAGAGCATTAAATTGAGTCTGCGGAAATTGATAGGCTAAAGTCAGGTGCAATGATTTCACATGTGGTTCCAATGAATCGCTATATTTTTTGATAATTTATCAAGTTTTTGATACGATATAAAACATTTCATAAGGGTTTTTTATAATTCATTAGGTTATTATTTAGCGTTGTCATTTTATATGAAAAGAAAAGAACAAACAATAAAAACAGAATAACAAAAATATATTAGACAAACCTATTTATAATATAAATTTCATACTTTTTCTATACTATATATGATACTATACTATATTAATAAAACAAAATGTAAGAGCAATTGATGTATTTACTCGGTGGTTATTATAATTGCTACTAAAACCAAAAATACAATGTTAGGAAATCATAACCATATTGTAGAGTATGAAGTCGTTTATACAATGCATATAGTATAGTGTAAGAATGGAATAGAGTATGTATTTAGTCAAGAGGTTGGTTTGTAGTTTTGTAAATATAAAAGTGTTGGGTGTTAAATAAAGCAAATTAACACTGTTCAACAAATTTTTAGTTTTACTTAGAAAAGCGGAATTGGAAAAAAATAAGTATTTGCTAAAGTTTTTTTCTCGACCTACAGACTTTGGGAGCTTTTGAAGATTACAGTTTTTATACTAAATATCCCATTAAAGTTCAATATTTTTTTGGTACTTTTTGTACCACAGCAATAAAGAAACGTAATACAATATTTTGTGCAAAGTATGGATCAACACCGTGGCGCCCAATATATGGAATTTAATAAAAAATGGAAATAAATTGTTGCAAAAAGGATTTTTTTTGGAATTTGGATAAAAATTACAGGATTTGTTAAACATCACAAAAAATAAACACTTTCAATACAAAATAATATATATTCCTCCCTTTTTTAACATAATTTAGTGACTTTCAAAGATATGATAATACATTTAAAAATAATGTTATCTTTTTTAGTAAATAACTTACAATGTATTATTTAACGCTTACGATGTTTTAACTATTAAATTAACTGTTTGAATGATTTGCTTTGAACTACAAACATTAAAAAAAAGCGTCAATATAGACGATTATCATAATGACTAATATATTAATAATAAATGATAAGAATAGATAACTAACAACACTGCAAGTCATATATGAATATTGCAAGCAAATTAACAATAGTTATGAATAAAATAACTAAATGAATGAAATCTATTATAAAAAGCAATTATTTCATATTATTTAAGAATAAATAACAAGCAAAGGAAAGCTTTTTCTAAACTAAAACTTGTAGAAAAATCTTAAATAGAATTAGCTTACAGCGACTGCTACGTGGTATACAACGATTACCCGATGAGACAGCACCACACCAGGGAAAACAAGCCACAATGGCATCAAGTTGCTCATAAGTATCACTAATTACTACACTTCATTAAACGTTAAGCAAATGTTAAAAGAAAATTAGTATAATAATGTTAAAAATAAAAAAAACAAATATAAGAACAATATCCATTTTGGTCAGCAATAGATTGATAAAATAGAAAAAAGAATAAGAAACCATTAAAAACGCACCCGCTTTAAAGAAAACCTTTCCATAAAGTTTAACATTATTTAATGAAAAACCTTATAAAAACACATACTTGAGTTAGAAACTTCCTTAACGTATTGCAAAGCCAAACGTTTTAAATAATTAGCATCATCTTCGGCCACAAAAAAGCCCATAAAATTTTGACTCATATATAATTCCAGTTTAATGGGGCGATCTAGCAATGCTCCGGTCATATCCACTACTTGTTTTAAAGCCTTGGACAGCTGCAGGGAACATTCATCGGGAGCCTGTTTGTGGAAATAAAGTAAATTCTATTGTTTTGAAAATATGTATATGTGAACTTACCTTAAAAAAAGATACTAAAGTAATATGTGGCACATAGTTGTGGGCTCCATTCCAGCCGCACACTTGTCTGGATTTTGTCCAAAATTCTTCTAGTTGTTGTAGAAATGGTCCTGTTGGACAGGCATATAAAATATATTCACGCGGTGTACACTCATCTAAGGTATTATCGTTAACATGAGCCAAAAGCCAATCGGAGGCAATTTGTACACCACGATTACCAGTAGATGCTAAAGCCTTTTCTCTGAAAAGTTATTTAAAGAAAATGGGTAACATTATCTTTCTATACATGATATGGAATTACTTTATCTATATAAATAGTTATACACTTTTATGTGCCTTTAACAAATTTAAGATTTCCTATATGAAAACAGATTTACAGTATATTAAAATTTTAAATAAAAAAAATGAAATAATAATACCGTTAAATTTTGAATCATTTACAGTAGAAAAATTATGAAATCTGGTAACATAAAAATAAATCGCTAGAATTCCCTCATCTAAAATACTTTACTGCTAAACTAATATTAAAATAGCTTTCACTGACAAAAATAGCTATAGCTAAATTAACAACACTGCCCCTAAGAAAATCAATAACAAACCCAATTGCTATTTTTCTTTAATTTAATTTTTCACACATATTTTCCATAAAAATAACAATACTTTTACAATAAAAAATACTTACGCTCTGTGTTTTTGGAAGCCCATTTGTAGTAAAGTTTGTAGAGGCGTTAAATGTTGTTTAGATATACGAGTTGGTGTGGGATTTTTACGTGGCGGTAACGTAGCCATTTTTTCACTTATATTTAACAAAAAGTCTTGTATAAAGAATTTAAATTTATTGTAATATTTCTAAAATACAACACACAACACTTAATTTTAATTAATTTTCTTTATTTCGTTTTAAATAACAAATGTGTAAAAATAAACCACACCGTACCAGAGCCCTGCGCCGACAAATATTAACGGCGGCGGTGACTGACACTAAATATGTCGGCGGCGACTTAAAATCGACTGTAAGCCGGCTAAGTTTTCAACTACGTTTAGTTTTTAATTTTTCTACGATTTTAAATAAAAACGGAATCCGAGAGATCAGAAAGTGGGATTTTGGAAGCAAATATATTGTTTATAACAACAAAACAGAGCAAGCTCAAAAATTGTGTGAGAAATTATGCAGGGATGAATAAAAAATTCTTAAAAATTAAAAACAAATCCTTTCTCCAAGTTTTATAAAACATATTGCAGAAAACCAGTTTCTAACAAAGATTTTTTATTTGTTTATTTACTAGCTATACCCAGTGTGCTGTGCTACCCTAAAAGCAATATAAATAAGAAACCCACTTAACGATTTTAATGATTCTAACTACAATGGTTTTCCAGATATACAATTTGTTACATATGGGAGATTCCACGCAAATTATTGCAATTTCGCCAATTATTCCGAACGTTAATTAAGATTTTAATTTAATCTATAAAAATTTGAATAATCTAATAGCTTCTCAGATATACAAAATTTTTTATTAAATTCATATGGGAAGTGCCAAGCCCCCCATTGAAAGTCCGCCCGTTATTCTCTAAATGTTCTTCAGTAAAATTTGAAGATTCTAGATCTAATAGTTTCTCAGATATACGAATTTTTCTATTTAATTCAAGCCCCCCAGATGAAAGTCCGCCCTTTTTTCTCCAAAATGTTCAGATGAATATTAAAGTTCTTCGTGCAAAATTTTAAGAATTTAGTTCTATTAGTTTCCCAGATAAACGAATTTTTGTATTTAATTCATATGGGAGGTTCCGCTCCCCTCTTTGGTAGTCCCCCAATTTATTACCCAAAATGTTTACATGAATGTTAAAGTTCTTCCAGAACAACATCATTTAAAGGGATCACAAAGAGATTGAAAAATATTCCAAAAGTTTCACTTTGAAAACATTATTAGAGTGTATGAAAACTCGCAACTCTAAAGGCAGACTATTCCTATTTTAGCTGTAATTTATGATTAAAATAAGTAAGAAGTAAGAGTTATATTCGGTAAATCATATGTCGTAAAAAAACAAATTTCGGAAGTGGTCATATACATATATTTATGGACTTTGATCATTAGATTAATAAGAACGTCAACGTGATTTTCGGATTAGGGTCTTAAATGTGGAATTGGATCAATTATGGACAAAGTTCTCTATAATTTAAAGTATTGTTTTTAATTCTACCATAATTCTATCATAATGATAACTTTTGGAATGATGTATTAGCTATAAACTGATTTTCTGTAAGAGGGTTATATTGGCGGACCGATCCTCATAATTTTATTTTTCATAAATGTGGGTTTCGGTTCCTAAAAATGTTTTTTCGTAGACATCGACATTTGAAAGCCATTTATGTGCGTTTAAGTCATTTTCTGAAGAAGATTTCATATACATATTTACATTACATATTTTCGTTCCAAAAAAATTTGTTTTATTATGGTATTATTAAGTACTTAGAAAACGTTAAAATCAATTATTGAAGGGGGCAGGGTCAATTATGGCCTATAGAGATTTCGATTGATATCGAGCCCTTTTTGCAAAATGGATGTAAGCGAGATAAATTTTCGTTCAATTAGGATACTGCGTGTTTAATTTTATGTTTATATATTCAATATTTTAGAAAATTCAAAAAGTACCAGTTAAAGAACGAAAAATTACCAGAAATACTCCATTTTAAATTTTCATTCACTCAAGTCTCTGATTGCTTAGTTTTATGTTTTTAGGTTCATTATAATAGAAAATTCAAATAGAACCAGTTGAAGAACGAAAAAGTTCCAAAAAGTCCCGTTTTATATGTTCTCACTTACTCCATGCCCTACAGGTTTAATTTTATGTCTATAGGTTCAATATTATAGAAAATTCAAAAAATACCTTTTGAAGAACGAAAAAGTACCAAAAAGTCCCCTTTTATATGTTATCACTTAATCCGGGCTGTACATTCCTAATTTCATGTTTCTAGGTTCAATATTATAAATAATTCAAAAAGTACCAGTCAATGAACGAAAAAGTACCAAAATGTCCCCTTTTATATGTTATCACTTAATCCGGGCTGTACATTCTTAATTTCATGTTTCTAGGTTCAATATTATAAAAATTGAAAAAGTACCAGTCGAAGAACGAAAAAGTACTAAAAAGTCCCTTTTTATAGATTATAATTTACTCCGGGCTCTACATATTTATTTTTATGTTTCTAGGTTTAATTTTATGGAAAACTCAAAAAGTACCAGTCGATAAAGTTCCCATTTTATAGATACTCATTTACTCCAGGCTCTACGTGCATAATTTCATGTTTCTATGTTCAATTTAATAGAAAACTCAAAAAGTACCTTTTGAAGAACGAAAAAGTACCAAAAGTCCATTTTTATAGATTCTCAAGTGCTTAATTACATGTTTCTAAGTTCTAAGTCAAAAAAGTACCAGTTGCAACATCGTATTGGGAGCCCGTTATTATATTTCATATGTATAAGTTAATAAACCAAAAACAATTTTTTATAAAAAAGTACCAAAAATAGGTACAATTTTCACCCCTTAAACGTCCGAATATCCAAAAAGTACTAAATTCATATTTTTATTTGTTCGTAAAGTTATGAAGGATTCAAAAATATTTTTTGAATGTTCTCTGGTTTAAAAGATACCAAGAAGTACCAAATTACTTTCTACCCGTTTATTCCCCAAAGGGGCCGAATTTGAAGAAATTACCGGACACCTGTCCGCTTTTTTTAAATGAACGACGATAAGCATCAACAGTTTTTGTAACTTTTCTAGTTTAGGAGATTTGAGGTTACCGAATTTACGTTTTTACCCTTTTTTAACCCCCAAAAAATTCGAATTTCCAAAAATCCCGTCTTATTGGATACATTTGGGGGGAGACTAACACCTGCCCAAATTTCAGCTCTTTAGCTTCAACCGTTTAGGCTCTACGATGATGAATCAGTCAGTTAGAACGTTAGAATTTTATATACGATGTACATATATAGATTTCGTGCATTGAATTACTGTAAAAACATTGTAGTGTTCGACTTGAATTCAAAGCGTAATGAAAGTGTATTTCAACACTTGAAATTTGAATGTTTGACTGGAATTAAACTTGTTTCAAACTTTAATTCCAGCAAGAATGCTTATTTGGTATAGTGTGACAACTATAAGGAATCTAAAGTCGACATAAAGCGCACAATGGTTAGTACCAATATTTTGCCCAAACAACATCTACATACCTAGCCAGGTTATATCCTCTAGGTCCGTGAAGACATTCTCTACAAAGCTATAAATTTGTATAAAAGGCGGCTTAACAATTGTTTCTTGTAAATATTCGGCCACCATAGTGTTTGGAGAAATAGTTGAGACAAAGGGTGCTGATTAAATAACAAATCATGGGTTGATCTCCCACCAGCATCTAATTCGGTGTTAGTTGTTATTGTGAATGATTTCTTTTGCTTCATCCTTAACAGGGTTGCCACATTTTGGGGCGGGGTAAGCTATAATTTTTAGAAACTATTTTTATTTTATTTTAAAATAATTTTTTATATTAAAAAACGTTTTTCTTTGGACATCTTTATAAGATTCATATTGATTGGGAACATTGCCGTACCGAGTAACTATAAATTTCTGGCAGCCTTAGTAATGAACAGCACCAAAGTGAATTTATTTAAGATGATATTGATGAGACAGCTGACTATACTTTTTGTGTGGAGAAATGTCATATCATTCAAATAAAAAAATATTCTCTCGGGCACTGATATGTCAAACGCCAACACAAATTATTAACGAATAAGGCACTGCTGTTACCTTATAAAATTCGACTTGTATACTAAAAATACGTGTAAATTACATGTCAGCGGTATTATTAGTTTTATTTTTTATTGTCTACAATTGCCGGATTTTAATAAATCTCAGAAAAAGTTAATAAATTATAAATAAATTTAATAATTAAGTAAAAATTATGTTTAAAATTAAATTATGCATAATAGCAGCATTACTGCTTTGTTCTTGTACGTTGGCTGATAAAAAGGCAAAAAAATATTCCCGAGAAGCAAATGACCCGCATTTTGAACAAGTGAAATCTGAGACTTATGATCCCGACTTCCGGACTTTACAAAGACCATTTCGAATGGCTAAATTAAATTTAGTATGGGCTAAAGCACAAAATGTAAGTTAAAATTCTTAAAATTATAAACAAAAACTTAAATTAAATACATTAATAGAGATTGACCGAACCCAAATTGAAATCCTTGTATATGGAACTTAAAATACAAGACAAAGAAGAAATTACTTGGAAACAATTGAATTCTCAACATAAAGATAAAGATGGTCTTAAAGAAAATGAGCTGAGGCGTAAATTGATTGGTATAATGAGTTCCTATGATCTATTAGAACATTTTGAGGAGACAGAGGACAAAGATAAAGTGAAACCATATAAAAAATTCCATGATCCCGAGGAACGTCACATCAACAAGAGCCTGTTTAAAGATAAGAAATTGAACAAGCTATGGGAAAAGGCAGAAGTTTCCGGTTTTACTGCAGAAGAGTTGAATTCTTTAAAACAAGAATTTGAACATCATCAAGACAAGGTCGATGTTTACTACAGTTTATTGGAAAACTTGGGAACGCAAGTGGATGTCAATAAACACGAAAGTAAGTAAAACAAATATGTTTTTTATTGTTAACTAATATTAATTCCCTGCTACCAAACAGATGCCATTAATGAAGATGAATTGGAAAATTTTAACATGATACCCAGTGATCCCAATGATAATGAAATAGATACCCCCACCGCTAGTGCCAAGAAATATGAAAATCACATTAATGAGGTGCGTGAACATCATCGCGGTCTTAAAGATCACTATGATCGCCTGGAGCGTTTAGTATCTGCCGGTCCTCACAGTCAAGATTTCATAGAACCTAAGGTACAGGGTTTATGGCGTGTGGCC